TAAAAGACATAATAACGTGTATGATAACATATTGCATAGTGTCACTGTTCTTGGGCATCAAATTAGTTTTGCCACATCATATGCCAAAATTTAAAAACAAGCAGCCTTTTTCTAATTCACATAAGAAACATTATTAGCATCAGCCATCAGCCATACATTTATTTGTCCCCAATTTCTATTATCTAAGTTCCCTCTTATCTAGTCATTTTTATCACATAAAATTTTAGAAAATAAACTCAATAAACCCGTGCATATATAGTCAACTAATATTTTACAAGGGAGCCAAGAATAGTCAATGAAGAATAGACAGTCTCTTCAATAAAAGGTGCTGGAGAAATTGGACATTCACATGTAAAAGAATAAAACTAGATGCCTATTTTACACTACTCATAAAAATTCACTCAAAATGAATTAAAGACTTAAATGTAAGACCTGAAACCATTAAACTCCTAGAAGAAAACATAGGGAAAAGCCTTCTTGCCATAGGTCTTGGCAATGATTTTTTTGAAGTAACATCTAAAGCACAAGCAACAAAATAAAAAATCAGCAAGTGGACTACATCAAACTGAAACGCTTCTGCACAGCAAAAGAAATGATCAACAAGATGAAAAGGCAACCTACAGAATGGGAGAGAATATTTGCAAATTCTATATCTGATAAAGGGTTAATATCCAAAATACATATATATAAAACCTCATACAGGTCAATAGCAAAAAACCCAAATAATTCAATTGAAAAATGGGCAAAGGATCTGAATAGACCTTTTTCTAAAGAAGATATTCAAATGGCCAATAGGTACAAGGTTCTCAACATCACTACTCATTAGGGAAATCTAAATCAAAACCACAATGAGATATCACTTTACACCTATTAAAATGGCTATCACCAAAAAGACAAGAGATCAACGCTGGCAGGGATGTGGAAAAAAGGAAAGTCTGTGCACTGTTGGTAGGGTTGTAAATTGATGCAGCCACTATGGAAAACGGTATGGAGGTTCCTCAAAAAATTAAAACTAGATCTACCATGTGATCCAGCAATTCCACTTTTGGGTGTTTATCTAAAGGAAATGAAATCACCATGTTGAAGAGACACCTACACCACTATGCTCATTGCAGCATTATTTATAATAGCCAAGACATGGAAACAACCTAAGTGTCCATCAACAGATAAATGGACAAAGAAAATGCGCAATATATGCAATGGCATTTTATTCAGCCAAGAAAAAGAGGGAAATCTTGTCATTTGTAACAACGTGGATGGATCTTGAGGACATTATACTAAGTGAAATAAGTCAGACAAAGAACGACAAATATGTATCATCTCATTTATATGTGGAATCTAAAAAAATCAAACAGGAAAAGAGATCAGATTCGTGGTTGCCAGAGTCGGGGGGGGGGGTATTGGATGAAGGTGGTCAAAAGGTATAAACTTCCATGTTAAGTACTCGGGATGTAATGTGCACACGATTGCTACTGTTAACAAAACTGTATGATATATTTGAAAGTTGCTAAAAGAGTATATCCTAAAAGTTCTCATCACAAGGAAAAATCTTTATATGACATGATAGATATTAACTAAATTCATTGTGGTAATCATTTCACAATATGTGAATGTGAAATATTCATATGTCATTATATTCACTATACATTATATAATATAGATATTATGTAACATACATAATTACATAGTGAATATTACATATTCATTATGAATGTCACAATATAATGACAGATGTCAAGTCATTGTGCTCTATGCTTAAACTTATACAGTGTTTTATGTCAATTATATATCAATAAAATTGGAAAAAAGGAAAAGAAACTCAAGGAGTGAAGAATTACCTTTAAAGAAAAAAACACAACACAACATAGGGATGATACCAGCATGGCAGCAATAATAAATGTAAACTTTAGAAATATAACCTCCCTCTTGAATTTATGTACTATATTACTAACTAGTTTTTTAAATTGCTGTGGAATATTAATCAACTAAAATTAATACGTTCTTTAATTTTGCCAGTGTTAGTCAAGAAATTTGTCAATCAAATATCCATCTCCAAGGCTCCTTCTCTTTTTTAAATCAATCGCCAACGATGAGGTACAATCTAAGCTCATTAACTTGACATCAAACTTTCCACGACTGACCATGGCATTCTTTTTCAGTTTTATTTTCTACTTACTACCCACCCCGCAAGCACTGAAAAACTAAATAGTTCTTCTTTTGAAGAAGCTTATTAATCACTTCATTTCAGAAGACTTTTCTAACTATTTGTGATATCTTTAGACAGACAGGGGCAGAGAGAGAATAAAACTACTCCTGGATATTATCATGACATTTCTCAGGCTAAACTGTATCTTAATCATCTCTTTCTGTATTTGCTATAATTTCTGTAGTCTAAGTTCCTTGAACAGAGACAATATGTTTTTATTTCATGGTCATGATCCTCATTATGATTGCTATTATTGTAAGCTATCACCTGTACCCTCACAATCAGTCCCTCATAAATAATAAGTAAATGATTAAATACTAAGATAGGGTCAGCAAATGTATGCAATTATTTTAAAAACAGCATCAGCAAAAACGGAAACAAACCAAAATAATACACAAGTTGTCAAAGTTTACCTCTGCAATAGTAAATCCACGCATTTGTTTATGTTTTCATCCACTTTCGCCTTCAAGTATAAACATGTATTTGGCAAATGTTTGAAAAATATCAAGAACTATGTTTGATAAAAGAAAAACAAATATAATTAATAACAGGTCTTTCCTGTTATTAAAGCAAGTAGCTCGGCTAGAAGGAGAGACAGCTGGCTAGTTCCACAGCCTGTTTCTTTTTCTCCTGGTCCACACACATTCACACAATTCTCCTGTCATTATTGGATGTTTGCTGAGAGTTCAGAGGCAGAAGAAAATGCATTAGGATAAAGTACAAGAGTAAAGTAGCTTCACAGGTCTTGAAGGAGATAATTAAGTAGAAAAATCAACTAAGATTAATCGAGGGATGGGAAAGTGAATAAAACCTACAATTTCGTTCTGATACCAAAACCAGTGTCATTCTATTCAACTCATTAACCATAATTATGCACATACATACACATATGTACAAATAAACATTTGTATACATATGTGGGTAAATATATCTGTTATATATATGTATCTCCATTTATTGTTTTCATAACCAACCATACTGACTTTTATTTCTGATTTTTTTTGTTTTGACAATTTAAATATATAAAAATACACTTCAGGGTTAATCAAAATGTAACTATACAGAAACCGTCATAGAAACATATTAGCAAACTTTAAAACAAAGATTCAAATAATATCATTAACTGAATTATGTGAATTAAGAGAGCAAATAGTTGTATTAGAAGTTATCTCTTGGAGTATCAAAATATTGCATGATCATAATTCTATTAAAAGATCTGCTAATCATTGTTGCTTCTCCAGTTGATATGATCTCAATGTTTGGGGGGGCACAAAGTTACTTTTGTAGTTCATTAGAGCTTTCCTCTCTTTAATTTAACAATGTTTGATAAATATTCTAAAACAGATACATAAAAATGATTACCTCCAATATATTAATATAAAATTAAAACATCTTTTCTGTTATCTTTATACAGAAATAGATGACATATTTGTAATTACATTATTTTGAAAAAAGTTAATGCTATCTCTAGACTATTCTTTTTCTATTTTGAAATTGAGTTTTAGAATGAAATAGTTTGGTAATATTTTAATTTTTTCTGCACTATTTGATCTAAAATAATAACATATAATGATAAAGTACATTTAAAATAATATTTCTATAAGGCATAAAATATACATCTTGATGAATTTGTTTGGTTAAGAGGACTTATAGAACGTCTCTCTAAGTACTATAAGAGATTCTATGTTTAACTACTTACAAATGAGTAAAGCTAGAATAATTTTGAATGATAATTGTTGGACTTAGTCAACTCTACGTATTTAGATTCAAATTTTGAAGTAACATATTAACATTTGGAAAAATATTTTTGCCATGAAGATATTATTTGATTTTATTCTCTTTTGTGTCTTAACTGACTCTGGTGAAAAGAATGCCCTTTGCTGCACAATGACAAAGCTGTGTTTCTCAAAGTTGGTGTCATTTATTGAAGTCATAATAGTCATTTTGTACTATTACTTTGGGGATTAATTTTCCTTGTAAAACACAGAATACAGTTTAATACAGAGGATAAGTCTTTCAGAATATAGCACTTTCCCTACAAAGCATAAAAAAGGTAATTGGAGGCTGAGCAGCTTGTAGATATTCATGTAAGTGTATTAAAAATGAATGTGTCACTATGAACTTTTGCATTCCTTAATGTAGACATAGAAATTACACTCAATCATGAGAAAGGACAGGTTTTTTTCCTTCTAAAAAATGCTATCATATCTTTAAATTCGTTCACTTCCATTTCAAAAAATATTTTACTCATAACTTTGACCAGATTAAGAAAATCATCTCACAAAATTTCTGATAGAAAAAGTTAATTTAAAGGTTTGCTCCATTTTTACAAGACATGTTTGTTATTATTTTTCTTCCCAATAAACGTATACTGAAAGTGTAGCTCAAACAATTATGGCCTGTTCTCTGAAATTGATTGATTCTTTAAAAATGTTTAGAGCCGCTTAGATTTCTATATCTCTGTGGAACAGTTTTATAATTTTATTTTAACAGAAATTTTCCATTTACTCAAAATTCCCAACTTCATTGACTATAAACTGTTTAAGTAGTCTGTTTATATATCTGAGAATGTTCCCTTTTTCACTGTTGATGTTGGTACTTTGTATGTTTTTATTCATTGTCTGCATTATTTTTATGGAGGAATTATCAGAATTAATAATCTTTTCAAGGAACTATTATCTTTGTTTCAGTTTTACTATATTGTGCGTTTGATTTCTATTTTTTAAATTTGTGTTCTTTTTAAAATTATTTTCTACATTCTGCATTTTTACATTTCTTTTTATTTTTTCCCTAGTATCTTGAGATGGAATAGTTCATCAATGATTTTATACCTTGTTTAATATAAATATACTCACTCAAGGTCTGGATTATCCTCTGAGCAAGGTATAACTGCATCCCACTGTTTCATATGTTATTTCTTCATTATCGCGCATTTAATTTTCTTTTAATATTTCTTATAAATCATAGGCAATGTAGAATTATTTTGATCCAAATGGGTGGAATTTTCTCTTTATCCTTTTCTGATATTTATTTCTAGCTTAATTCCACTGTGGACAGTGAACCATTTTAATGATTTCAATAGTTTATCACACAGCATGTAGTCAGTTTTGGTAAATGTATGATATGCTTTTGAAAACAATGGGAATTCTCATTGTTTGCTACATACTATATCTAAAGTAGGTCTTTTGCACTATGCTGTTCAAATATTTTAAATTCTATTAGTTTTAACTGTTCTTATCTGCTCTTGAGAGCTGTGTTAATCTTATAGCATAATTATGAAGTGGTGTTCATGTCTAATCAATTTTGTTTTTATTGGGGAAAGTATTTTTCAAATTTAGGAAAATTAGATTTAATAAACAAAAACTATTTTAGGGAACATCAGAAAAATCTATGAATTAATTATTCTAGATGAAGCTGTTAATTAGGATATAAACCTGGGAATATAATGTAGCATTTGAAGATATTTTAACTCACACTTTTATAACTAAATATTCCAATAATTTTTAGAATATATTTCAATGGTAACTTCAAAAAATAGATCTTAAAGTAATTTTTTTGGAAATGAAAGTATTAAAGTAAAACTTAACCAGGCATTTGATAAGGTAATATTTTTAAAAAATATATGGCTAGTCATATTGTACAAAATAAAACAAAATATTTATGTCTCCTATAGTGATTTAATACATGATATCAACACCTGAAATAGGTGATTTAATATCTTTTATTACATGTTATTTGATGTACTTATTAAAAGCCATAAATTCACAAATGGCAGTTACATATGGGAAAGAACTGGTGCTTAGTGTGAGGACTAGTCCACTGACTACTCTGCCACAGGTGCGTCAGAAGAACTAATATTCTAAGTCAAATCTCCTTGGGAAAAAAAAATGCAACATATCATGAATTCCTGATAAACATTCTGATGGTATTTACTAGTGGAATGTTAATGGAAAGTCTTGATTTACGAGCTTTTAGCAGGCCAAACATGGTCCATCAGGATAGTCTATTATAAATAAATTTGTCTTTTATGGGTTTATGGTATGCCTGATCGTTTAGAGAATGTGGAGTAGTCAAAAAAGCCTATTAATCTATTCCATTAGTGAATGCCTATAAAATGGCAATATTCTAAAATCAAAATAGGTCCTTTTAGTGTAGCAATCTCTACACTTATACTTCTCAGAACAAACATCTTCTGTTAAATTTCAAACAAAAGTGGGCTCAAAGGTAGGAAAAAAAATATTTTGGTAGAGTTGTCATGAGCTGTGACAAAATCATTAAATGTGATTCATGTGTACGATCATCATAAACCAACATAGGGATAATTGCATCCAGAGCCTCCTACTGCAACTCATCACTACTCAACGTTCCCTCCACTAATCACCTTTTCCAGCCGGCACTTGACTGGCATCTCTGACTCCACTTGAGATTCACTATAGTCTTGTCTCTACAGATCATTACAGGTACATTTTTACTGAAGCACAATAATCTAACTCAAAAATGTATCTTTTTTAAGTGAACAACTGAATTAACTTCACAGTTTGAGAACTCCTATTAATGATGGGCAAGGTCAAGACATAGAATATTAGCCACATTGCAGAAGCCACTCTAGTTTCACATCCAATAACTACTCACTCCTTTCTCCATGATGGTAACCACCATCTTGCCTTCTAACACTGTGGATTAGCTTTGTCTAATTTTAAATGAATATAAAATGAATTATAAAATATGTATATTTCATCTGGCTCTTTTCCCCAACATTATCTTGTGAGAGTCATCTTCGCTGAATGTAAATATATTTTGTCATTTTCTGTGATTACACTATTGGTAAACAGTTGGCCTGTTTCCAGTTACATGCCCTTATAACTAATGCTGCTATGAACATTCTTGCAACATCTCAGTATTCCTGAACACTCATATACACCTCCAAGTGCCTCTCATCCTCCTCCTATGACTAGAGGGCTTGCTGATGCATGTTCTTCTCTAGACAAGTGCAGAGTGGAAGATCAAATACTCAAAGCCTCCTAAGTCCTGTGCCTGGCACCCTGTCACTTCTGGCACATTTTAATAAACAAAACAAGTTAAATTGTCAAATCCAAAGTCAAGAGGGGACAGGAGGTGAATATACTTCATCTCTTTAGGGTGAAAAATGGCAAAATCATATGCCAAAAACTAGGGTTAATAATAAAATATAATTCATCAAATTAGTGAAAATATTCTCATACGTCATCTAATGCAATCTTCATTTTTTAACACGCTCCTTTAGATATAGATCCTTCCTAAATCTGATTTCTGTGAATGGTTGAGGTATGCATCATTTTATTTATTTACATTTTTATATGGATATTACAATTTAATAATTGCCATTGCTTGAAAAGACTGGTTTTCTTATGCTGCTTTACAATGTCATTCTTCTAAATATTGGTCAATTTTTGGTCTCTTTATAATACATGTTGGGCTACATGTGTATACTTGTGACAAACCCACATTATTTCATTGTTATAGCTTTAACAATATCTAGTAGGGTAGATATTCTAATTTCCTTTCCTTTTCCAAGAATATTTTAACTCTTCTTGGAGCAATGCACTCCATCTAAATTTTAGAATCAAATATTCAAAATCTACCAAAAAAATTTTTGATGGGGTTTTGATTGGGATTGCATTGAATCAATAGACAAATTTGAGAAAAACTTAAATCTTCACAATCATGAGACTTACAATACTTTAAGCAACCATCCATTGATTTAGATCTTCATTAATGTCTTGTGTTAATGCTTTATAATTTTCTGTACATAGTCTGGCATATCTTTTGTTAACATTTTTACCTATGCATTTGGTATTTTTCATTCAATGGTATTATATCATTTTTAAAAATCATGTTTTGTATTACTGACATATAGAAATACATTGATTGTAGTCAATGACCTTGCAGCAGTAAACTTTTAGATCCACTTAAAATGAATGACATTTACTTGAAGACTCTTTAAGGTTTTCAAAGAATAGATCATACAATCTTTCAGTAATAGCAATTCCTTTTGAATTTCTTATAACTTCTTTTTCTTCTTCACTTAGTGCACTGACTAAAGCCGCTAGTATGATGGTAAATATTACCAGTCTCAGAGGGAAATCTTTCACCTGGCTATTTTGTAAAGTATGAATGAATTCAGTTTACTTTCCTGCTCCAAATACCCTAATATTTTCCTACAACAGTTAAAATAAAATTCAAATAGTAATGAAACTCGGCTGCCTCTAACCTTTTCCTCTATATATATCCCTTGATTATCCCGCTTTAATTATATTGAATATTTGTTGTTTAATTACTTTCCTTTGTTTTACAGATAGCGCTCTTGGTGGGCAATACAAGTTTCACAGCTTCCTCTAACATGCCATGTTTGTTCACACCTAGAAGTCGAACAGTTGTTTTTTTCCCATTATTTTGTTTTAATTTTGAAACATTTTAAGACTATTTTGGAGAAGAAGTTAAAAAAACTGCACAAAGAGTTCATGCGTACCCAAGGATAATATCTTATATAAACACAGGACATTGCCAACACCAGAGGATTGATGTTTGTATAATGCTATTAACTTAGCTACAAAACTCATTTGGATTTCAGCAGATTTTACATGCACTATTTTGGGGTGTGGGATGGATTTGGGTGGTGTTTAGTTCCACAGTATTTTAACACGTAAATAGAATGTGTTCAGATAACTATCACCACAACCAGGATACAAAACTGTTGCATCACCACCAAGAAATTTCCTCACATAAACCCCTAATTGTCAAACTCTTCCACCAAACTTAAACCCCAGCAAACACTGATCTATGGTCATCATTAGAATTTTCTGTCTTCGAGAATGTTACATATATGGAATCATTCAGTAGAAAACCCTTCAAGATTGACTTTTTTACTCAGCACAAAGCCCTTGAAATCCATTTGAGTTCTTGAGTGTATCAATAGTGTGTGTCCCTTTTTCTCCCTCCATAGTCTTCCATTGTATGGCTGTCTCAGAGTTTGTTTATCCACTCACCATTAAAGGATGTTTGGGTTGTTTTCAGGTTTTGGCTATTACACATAAAGTTGCTATGAACATTCACACATTGGTTTTGGCATGAACATTTTCCCTGTATTTTCACTTGTTTCTCATTTGCACTTCGTTCATACAGGTCCTTAACAAAATGAGAACTCCTTTGCCAGACATGCACTGATTTCACTTTCTACATTAACAGTCTCATCCTAGTAATTCTCCTCCACTTTACTGCTTTTGTATATTTTCCGTACAATATATGTGTGTGTGTATACTATTTACTGTATAAACTACTTCCTAACTCCTCCACTATAATGCAAGCTCTGTAATGGGAAAAGACTTGTCTTTCTTTTATTTATCTTTGATATCCTGATAGCTAGAAGAATTCTTTTTTTTTTTTCTGCTTTATCTCCCCAGACACCCCCCCCCCACCCCCCCTGTACACAGTTGTATATCTTAGTTGCATGTCCTTCCAGTTGTGGGATGTGGGACGCGGCCTCAACGTGGCCTGATGAGCGGTGCCATGTCCGTGCCCAGGATCCGAACCCTGGGCCGCTGCAGCAGAGCGCGTGAACTTAACCACTCGGCCACGGAGCCGGCCCCTAGAAGAATTCTTGATATATATTATTCCTGTAGATGTTTGTTAAGTGTTAAATGTTTTTAAAAAACTATTTTTTATTTTTTTATAACACATCTGTACTTTCACTGCACAGACTCCAGCATTAGCCTCCATTTCCCAGTGAGCCCTTGATCTTGGTATCACTTATTTAAAATCGAATGTTTGCTCTATATTATTACAGATATCAAGACTTATCCTAATGCTTCCTTCACATGCAGAGCATATCCATCTGGAATATCTGCTGTAATTCTAAACTTCAATTTCTGAATAAACATCATCAATACATCTTGAAGGGTGACAATGTTATCTTCAACTCCTCAACTGTATAATGCAATTTTGGTGAAATGTTTTCCTCATCAAAATGTTAGCTTACCATTGCTTTTGCAACCTGCTGTTTTTATTTTTCTTTTGAAGAGTACTATGAATAAATAATAGCAGCAATGTAGACATTTAGAAATGTACGCATGGAAAAAAATAAAATCATTTCCCTATAACATAAAGCATATTCATAAGACTATAGCTTTAATCATATTATTTCATTGAAGACAGGCAGTAAATGATAGGAGAAAGTCTACATGTGAGTAAAATTTCATTCATTCTGAAATAGCTATCATTAGTTTTAGTTCGACAATGGTATGCTAATTGTGAGGAAATATCATAAACATATGACATGATGCTAATGTCTCAGCTTCTCCATTTTCTGTGTGAGAATAAGAACAGAATGTTCTGGGTCGGTAAACTTGCTAGGATAGCGCATGGTGCTAATAATTCACAGGATGCTTTTTCTTTTAGCTGCTCAAAGAACATTGAGATTCTCTTATGTAGGTAGACAAACACTGCATCCAAGACCATGCGTAGATGTTTTTACCTTTAATAATATATAACCTCAGTAACTAAAACTTATCAGAAACGCACACACGCATATACACACTCACACTTTATACAAAGGGGAATTGCTGCCAAGTTCTAGGACAGCAAATATGCAAACTTCTCCCTCTGATTATTTCCTAATTAATGCTTTCTCCTGAATAACTTACAAAGTATTTTTAGACTTTCACCTGGATTTTTTTTCTAAGTACCTTAAAGTCAACAAATTGAAATAATTATATATTTTTAAGTATTCCTTTAATAGATGGTCAAATATAATCTTCATGGCAATCTTTCGAAACAGAAGACATCTCTCTCTTTACTACATCCAGGAACATAAATTTAGAATTAACTTCCTTAAGATTATTTCACTAGAAAACTTTGTAACTATAATTCATTAATTTGTTAATTTACATTTTTATTTGTCCATTCAATAAGTATGTTTTGATCAGTATCTATAGGCTAAATGTTATGCTTGTTGTCTAGAGTTAAGAACAGAACAGACAATCCCTAAAAACTTTTATGTACACACACACATACACACCCTGTAGAGTGATCAAAAGAGAATGGGAAGAATGTTCTAGTGCAGAACAGTGTTGAGATAAGCCAAACATAAAACTGGTATGTCCATTGAGTTTAGAAATATGAAAGTCAATGGTGATTTTACAGATAAAAGTTTAGATTCAGTGATGTGTTATGATCGGTCAGAAAAAAATGTGAAAGAGAAATTTTGATACTGAACTTCAGAGGAAAGAAATGGGACAGTAGCAGGCTAGAGGATTATGAGGGAAAAAGAAGTAGTTCATTATTGCTCTGTGTGTGTGTTTGTTCTTCATTTTAGTGGGAAAGACGAGAACCTACTTCAGTATGTGGATGCAGTTGAATTATAAAAGCAAGACGTTGAAAATACATTTGAAAGAGGATAATAGACAGGTCTGGCTCCATAACCAATGCTCATTCTAGTGAAAGCCATGGTCTCCCATTTAATCAGTGCTCTGAAAAAGCTCACAAAATTATTTCTTTTTTCTGTGCAAAAATTCTTCTTCCATTCTTGATTCCACTCTCATACAATTGTTACCATAATAGAATTTTCTCAAAATAGGAAACATTAGATTTTTGTGAGCAAAAATAATCCACTTTAAACTTCACATTTTGTAGTAAATGATAACCCAGTTTTTCTGTATATGAAAGGCAATGAGATGAAAATATGAGTTCACTAATGTGAAATTCATTATTAATTGATAAATGCAAGCATGCATATTACAGTTCAAATGTTGAGAACTCTGAAAAAAAATAAAAAGTGCCAAAGAAGAAATATTTGATGTAAAGTGGTGAAGGCATCAGAATAAAATGGAATATGAGGTCATGAAGCAGAGGAAAATTATTCTTGGAAACCAGCAAATGAGATATGTCTTAGCCCTAAAGGTAAATAGCTAAATATCAGATGATAGAAGGAAAATGGGGATGTAACTCTTAAAACCTGATATTGTCCTATATTCAAATTATATAACTTAATGGGATCTAAATTTTTGATTGATTATACCATTTCAATACCTACTCTAAATGATGAAGCTCTTTAGTTCTCCCGTAACTGAAATGTACTTTATTACTTTATTAATTTATTCAAGATATTTACTAGGGGTCTAACTTGTGTCAAGAACTCTGCAAAGTACTATAAATACAAAGATGGCTCATTTTGTGAGGGGATTCCATAGCTAATGCATATAAACCTCTAAGCTACAATAAAATTTGCTAAGGGTAACTGCAGAAGTTTCAAAATGCACAGTAGGAACAAAGAGAACTGAACAATTATGCACCTAAGAAATTGGAGAATGCTTTGTTGAGAAGGTAATATGTGGATGTTTCTGGAGGAATCAATAAGGCAATCGTCACTGCCATTAAGAATGAGGAAGACGGATTTTCTAGGGGGGAAAGGTAGTTAATTTAACGGCATAGAACATGAATTAGGCAAAGAGGAGCAAGGACAGTATGTTATCTTCTGTTGCGCAAATTTAAATTTCTCATCAGAGGAATTGGCCTGCAACATAATGAACTATAACATGGTAAAATATGAATAATATGCTCAGAGAGCTCAGATATCTGTGTTCTGAGGTAGAGAACATCTTCCTCATTTCTGTCTCCTTTTTGTGGGTATCTTCCATTAGATATCAATACTGTCATTAATGTGTTCTTCTGAGGATTTCTTAACCAAAATATTATAGCTGGTCTGATGAAGAAACCATAAATCTTTCGTATATCACTCCCATGGGTCTTATTGGTTAAGAGAAACATATAAATTGAGCCCAAACAAGGAATCTAGATTGTATTCCTATTTGAAATAGATAACTCTGTAATACCATTCATTCACTGATTCATTAATATATATTCCTGTTTTTATTTAGTCACTCCTTCAATACGCATTTTTTTAAGTCTGCTAGCTCCCAAAGTATTATGCTGACTCTGTCGATAAAGAAATTAATGTAGGCTTAGTCCCTAGCTTACAAGGTGTGTATTTGGGAGGTGGTAGTGGGGTATGCATTAAATCAACCTTGACAAAATTAATTCTTCAATTAAAATTGTGTGGAGTGCTACAAAGGAGACGTACACAGTGTTTTAGAAAAGCCTAAGTGGAGCTAAGCTTTCTAAACAGGGACTATTTCCCAGAGGAAGATAAAATAAAGACAGATATTATTGTA